TGTAATTATTTGTGTTATTATTTTATGCCCTTCTTTATGCGAGCTGAAAATTCCTAGAGGGGAGGAGCTCTGGGCCTTATGGACTGGTGCCTCCGTTGCCATCAAGTTGTGGGCATAGATCATGTTACTGAGCCATCGCATCCTATGGAGGCCTCTGATTGTGAATTGGCCATAATCAAGCCCACCTTTCACTAGTGTTTCTCCTAACTAAATACAGCGAGTCCTCAAATAACGTCATTTCGTTCGACGTCATTTCCTTATAACAATGAGATGTCATAGGAACTTTACTCTTGTTTATGTCTGTTAGCCTATGGTAAAAATTGGTTTCATTGTACATCATTTCACTTAAAGTCACAAAACCGGTCAATGACATTGTGTGAGGAATTACTATACACCACTCGGCCAAATCCTAGTCAGGCTAACTGTTCCACATAGTCTTCCAGAAAACTGTGCATAGTTTCATGATTCAGATTGTGGCTGAGCTGTCATTCATGCTCTGCATACAGAGCAGATGTGTATGTGAATTCTCCCTTTTCGAGTTGGAGAAACTCAAGTGTCTGGAGGTTACGCACCCAGAGTTGTCAGGCAGGTCTGTGCTGGGGTTTAAGTGGGACTGACTGGAACTGACTCTCCAGGAACCCAGTCCAGGACCCTGGACAACCCTGTGGTGGTTCTGCCCTAATGTCATGTACTGAGGGTCAGTAGATGGTTGACTGACCAGAAAATTCTGGAACACCCTTCCCCAATGTTTTTACCTTGGCACAAAATAAAAGTATGACATCACGATGAGAACACAGGACTTCTCTATTTATATTCTTAGAACTGACTAGATTTTTCCAAGGGTGGCTGGTCAGCCCTCCTGCTGGAGAGAAATCATTGTGGAGAATCTGTACCACCTTCCATGGCAACCTATGTGACAACTGTGCTTGTTCTTAAATCTAGAGAACAAAGTGATAGGTGCTGGCCTTCGTGCCTAGACACAATTTCTTGATAAGCAACCAAAAATGTAGGAACTTTTAGAACCTCCTTTTTCTTTTCTTCGGGTTCACAATTAACATGAGAGAGAG